CGACTACGACTACTACTACTACTACTACTACTGCTACTACTACTACTACTACAACTACTACCACCACTACTTCTATTACTACTACTACTACTACTACTACTACTACTACTACTACTACTACTACTACTATTATTGCTACTACTACTACTGCTACTACTACTACTTCCACCACACATACTACTACCATTATTACGACTACGACTAGTACAGCTACGACTACGACTACGACTATTTCTACTACGACTGCTACTGCCACCACCAATATTAGTATTACTACTACTACTCCTGCTCCTCCTCCTCCTACTACCACTACTGCTATTATTGCTACTACTATCACTACTACTACGACTACGACTACTACTACGACTACGACTACGACTACTACTACTACTACGACTACTACTACGACTACGACTACGACTACGACTACGACTACGACTACGACTACGACTACGACTACGACTACGACTACGACTACGACTACGACTACGACTACTACTACTACTACTACTACTACTACTACTACTACTACTACTACTACTACTACCACTACTACTACTACTACACTACTTCTACTACAACTTCTACTACTTCTGCTACTTTTTCTACTACCACTACTACTACTACTACTGCTGCTGCTACTACTACTACTACTACTACTACTACTGCTACTACTACTACTACTACTACTACTACTACTACTACTACTACTACCTCTACTACTACTACTATTACTACTACTACTACTACTACTACTACTACTACTACTACTACTACTACTACTACTACTACTACTACTACTACTACTACTACTAGGGGCCATTTTGCATATTTTACCATCGGTGCGAGTCGGTGCGGTTTTGCTTACAATTCGGTGCCCTCTTGCTCAGTTTAACATAGTGCTCCTGCGCAGACCAAACTGAGACCAAGTCCAACTCTGGCACGTATGTTGGCTTCCAGAACCTCTGCGTTGACATATGCGGTGTCACTTGGTCCTCACAGTCGTCTTGGGCTTCTCTACACTTAGAACCTTACTGTGAGGCTATCCCAAGCAGGTTGGGATTGGGCCCAGTTTGCTTTTCGTACTGGTTGGGATTGGTCCCAGTTGGTTGGGATTGGGCCCAGTTGGTTGGGATTCGGCCCACATGCGGTTCGAACCCCCCGCCAACCCTCTCCCCTACTTCTACTCTGTCCCTCTCCTCGGGCCGGCGCCGGCCTGGCGTCGGCGGCGGCTGGCGGCGGCGGGGGTGCTGATGGTGGTGGTAGTGGCGGTGGTGGTGGTGGTGGGTTGTGCTGCTGGTAGTCGCGCTGGTGGTTGTGGCGGCGGTGGTGGTGTGGTAGATTGTGGTGGTGGTGGTAGTGGTGGTGGGTTGTTGTATTGGTGGTGGTGGTGGTGGTGGTGAGCTGTTGTGGTGGTTGTGGTGGTGGCTGAGGTGGTGGTGGTGGTTGTGTGGTGGTTTGGTGGTGGTGGTGGTGGTGGTGAGTTGAGGTGGTGATGGTGGTGGTCGTGGTGGTGGCGGTGGTAGTGGTAGTGGCGTGGTGGTTCGTGGTGGTGGTGGTGGTGGGCGGTGGTGTTGGTGGTGGTGGTGCTGCTCGTAGTGGTGCTGGTGGTGGTGGTGGGTGGTGGGTGGTGGGTGGTGGTGATTGTGGTGGTGGCTGTGGTGGTGGTGTGATGGTTTGTGGTGGTGGTGTTGGTGGTGGGTTGTGGTGATGGTGGTGGTGGTGGTGGAGGTGATGGATGGAGGTGGTGGTAATGGTGTGGTGGTTTGTGGTGGTGGTGGTGGTTGTGGTGGGTTGTGGTGGGTTGTGGTGGTGGTGGTGGTGGTAGCGTTTTGGGTGGTGGTGGTGGTGAGGTGGTTTGTGGTGATGGTGGTGGTTGTGATGATGTGGTGGGTTGTGGTGGTTGTGGTGATGGTTGTGGTGGTGGCGGTGATGGTGGTGGTATGGTGGTCTGTGGTGGCGGTGGTGGTGGTGGTGGTGGTGGTGGTGTGGCCTTCGGCTGGTCCCGCCGCTGTGTTTTGGCAAAGGGTTATAGTTCTAATGGATGCCTCTTGAGGTCTCGTCTGAAGGGTCTCGGGGGCGTCTGAGGAGCATGCGAGGGCTCGATATGGCGATTTGTGTGTTCCCTCTGCGGCCTCTGGGCCCTCTCTGGTCATCGTCGCTGCGTCCCCGCTGTCGGCGCTGCTGGCCGCCGCCAGCGCCGGCGCCGGCGCCGGCGCAGGCGCGGGGGGGTTTTGAGCCCCTCCTCCCCCCCCCCTCCTGGGCCCTCTCTGGTCATCATCGCTGCGTTGGCGCTGCGGCGGCCGCCAGCGCCGGCGCCCGCGCCTGGGGGGGGGGTTTGGATCCACCCCCCGGGGTTTGGGAGCGGGGGGGCCAGGGGGGAGGGGGGTCCCCCTAGTTCTGATCGACGGCGCCGAGTGTTAGGGGGGGGGCCAACCCCCCGGTTCGAAACTCGCCGCGGAATGTTCCCAAGGCCAGGGCCCGTGAAACGCGCTCTCTCACAAATCAGGACGTCGCATGTCTGGGGGGTCGCCACCATTCGAGACGACTGGAGCGTTGCCTCTCAAGCGCGGCACGAGGCTCAGACAGGCAGCGGAGCGCCCCGCGCCACTTTCTTCTGTCCCGGGGCATGGGCTTAGCAAGATGTCCGCGGCCCTGTGGTCTGAGAGTCTCTTCCGGGAGCCTTCTGGGACACTGGACCTCGGAGTCCTTGGTCGAGCGAATTTCGAGCTCCACGTGTTCGCAGATCAACTGCTGAGGCCCATGCCCTCAGGTTGTGATTGCAGGCGGAAGTCAGGCGCCTCCGTCGTCCCCGATGCGGACCTCTTGATCTGGATCTTCTTGGGGCGCGGCCCTCGGTGGCGTGCGGTATGGTTAGATGTTCGTTTGGGGGACCGTGCTGGGGCCCACCTACTGGATCTGTTCGACTCTAGTTCGACTCTAGGTTGATCCTAGCTCGACTCCAGCCTGAATGAAGTTCGACTCGTCTGACGTCGACGGACGTTCGACGCCGCATCGACGCGCGAGTGGAGCGAGAGGCCCCCAGAACGAGCGGCCGAGTACGGCGTCAGGCTGGGTTTCCCCCGGCGTGCACGGCCAACGAAGCGAGTGCCACGCCCCGCTCGGACCACTCGGCTGCATGACCTGGCGCAAGGGCTGGGGCTGGGTGGGGGGGGGGGCACCCCGGCGCAGTGCGCAGCCGCGGGGTCGGCAGGCCCAGCCATGATCGCGTCGTGGACAAAATCGGGGCGGGCGGTTTTGGGCCGCTTTCGGCCTCGGGGGGGGGCCCTCACGGGGCTTCGGGGCCGTGGAAAGATCACTCGGGACGAGGAGCTGGCCCCGCGGAAAGGGGTCGGGACTTCCAGGGGCCCCGCACTGAAAACACCAGGACGGCGCACGTTTTTTGGGGGGGCCAGGGCCCGCCGCCCCGCCCCGCGGGAGCGCGCCTCTCGCGAGGTGCAGGAGTGCCTGCCGGGCTACCTCGTGGAGCAGCTGCGGGAGCTGGGCATGGAGTCCCCCATGCCCATCCAGCAGCAGGCCCTGCCACTGCTCCTGCGCGGCTTCGACCTCGTCGGCATCGCGAAGACGGGCAGCGGCAAGACGCTGGCATTCCTGCTACCCGGCGTGGTGCACATCGAGGCGCAGGAGCCCCTCGACGGGGCCGTGGCGTCGCCGATCGCGCTGGTGCTCGCTCCCGTGCGGGAGCTGGCGGTGCAGATCGCGGAGGAGGCCAACAAGCTGCTGGCCAAGTCGTCGGCCTCCGCCAGGCACCCGAAGGGCCTGGGCGCCGTGGCGCTCTACGGCGGGGGGGCGCGGGTCAGGTGGGACCAGCTGGCGGAGCTCCAGAAGGGCTGGTGTCAGATCGTCACCGCCACGCCAGGTCGTGCGTGCGACTTCCTGCAGTCTGGGGACCTGTCTCTGGGGCGCGTGACCTACTTCGTGCTGGACGAGGCCGATCGCATGCTAGAGTGTGGCTTCGAGGAGCAGATGGGGCAGATAGCAGGGTCCATCCGCTCCGACCGGCAGACGTTGTTCTTCTCTGCGACTTGGCCTGCAGTGGTGCAGAAGCTCGCCAGCAGGATGTGCCACTCGCCTCCTGTCCGCGTCACTGTAGGGCAGAAGCAGGATGGCGACGGTCCTACCGCGCGGGGTGACATCGTGCAGGAGATAGTAGTCCTTGACGGCATGGAGTGGGAAGAGGTAGACGCGAAGAAGCAGGAGATCATGTACAGTCATATCCGCACTCTGCTCCAGGACCCTGTGCACAAGGTGCTCGTGTTTGTCAACACCAAGAACATGTCCTGGGAGGTCGCCGGCAAGCTCACCGAAGAGGGGTTCAGTGCCGAGTTCATGTACGGGGGCCGCTCGCAGGATGTGCGGGCAGACATCGTGCGGAAGTTCAAGGAGGGCGAGATCAAGCTCCTCGTCACGACGGACGTGATGGCGCGCGGGCTCGACATCCCTCATGGCCGCCTGGCAGCCACGAGGGCCAGGGGATCCAGGAGCAACCAGGCGTACCTTCCCCTGGAACAAGGCACCTTCGGGGAGGATTCAGTATCGGCAGCGTTGATCCAGCCTCTGTGTGCGCGGGTCTTCGCATTACATCATAATTGCTTGCCTCTCCGCCTCTGCCTCAACCTCCCCTGATCCTCATCTACTCCGTGACCCCGGGTGCTCCCAGACACAGGTCCGTCGTCACATGCAGGAATCTCTTGCGGAGAGCAGCGGGTTGCCAGCCGCACGTGATCTTTTCGGCGGTTCCAAACGACGGCCAGGTGTTTTGAGTTCCGGGGGGGGTCCAGCGGAGTAACCGCCGAACGTGGATACAGATGATCCCTCGCGGTCTCCATGCTCCCAGACGTAGAACGTGCCGTCATGTCTGCAGTCTTCGACGGACCCAGCGGAGTGCGGAGTGGCCACGGGGCGCGAATGCAGACCAGATTTCTTCTTCGGTGCTCTCAAACTTAGAGACGCCGGCATGTGTTCAGATACTGAGCTGCCCTACCTTTTTTCCAGCTCCTGGAGGGCCTAGAGGAGCGCCCTGTCGGGCGGGGGCTTCAATGAGACCTCGCCCCTGCGTGCCCCTCAACGTAGAACAGCCGTGAATTATCCAGCTCCTGCGAGGTCAAAGGGTCAGACCTCCCTAGTGGTGTGGATCTGCATCCGCCTTGGTGGCTTGGTGTGTATTGCTGAGATGGTTTTCGTTTGGAGCCGGGGGGGGGATCTCCAGACCTCCGACGTCGTGATAACGGGGGCCCCTGGAGGTCTGGACCACTTCCCGGGGACCAGCGTCTCATCCTCACTCGTTTTTGCTTTTGAGTGGCGGTGCCCACTACAAAATGGGTGGCGCGAGGGTGGTGGGCTTCTAGGGAGGCGGGGCGGCTTCTTGGAGTGGTTGGGGCCTCCTTAGAGAGGCCCCAGAGGCTTCTTACGACCACGGCGGGCTTCTTACGACCACGGCGGGCTTCTAGGAACCCCCCGTGGTTTCTCGGAAGCCCTCCGGCCTTCTTCGGGGGCCTCCTCAGATAGGTCCCAGAGGCTTTTAAGGGGGCTTCTTACGACCACGGCGGGCTTCTAAGGCGCCCCCCGTGGTTTCTCGGAAGCCCTCCGGCCTCCTCAGCGGGGGCCGCTCCCCTCGTTCCACACCGCCCACCTTGTGGGCGCCGCCAGGGGCGCTGGCGGTCCCGGGGCCCGGCGAGGGCCCCCAAGAGGCCGGACAATGACCAGCCCATGCCCGTCGCAGCTCTGTGCGCAGCGAGTTTTGCGGAGCAGAAACACACCGTGGTAGTGGACAGAAATTGTGGGCGTGGTGTGTTTCGCTTTTTTGTTCCACAGTTGTTTCCACAGTTGCTCCATGATTTTCCACAGTTTCCAGAGTGTGTGTGTGTGTGTGTGTGTGTGTGTTGTGTGTGTGTTGCGTGTGTGTGTGTGTGTGTGTCAATGCTGTGCACAGCGAGTCGAAGAACAAGCAAATGCGTAAGCATGAACTTTCGGAGCTCCGCGCGGATTTGTAGCGGAGTCCAGCGCGGATCTAAGAAATCCGCGTGGACCTCCAGAAGTGTACGCGTATGCCGTTTTTCTCCTCCGGCGCGAGGAGGTGAGAGGAGTCAGTCCGGTTGCTCCGGGTCTCGTGGCCCCGAGGGTGACCGCGCGGCGGCCATGGGGCATCCCAGACATCTCGCACGTCGTGGTCTTCGACTGCTACGGCGGTATTGAGGAGTACGTGCACCGCATAGGCAGAACGGCCCGCGGCCCCTACGGACGAGGCCACGCGCTGACCTTCTTCGAGTACGACCCCAAGTACTCGGGCATGGCCAGCGAGCTGCTGGAGGTGCATCGAGGGTCGAGGGTCGAGGGTCGAGGGTCGAGGGTCGAGGACCCAGGGCCGAGGATCGAGGATCGAGGACGACGACGACGAGGACGACGACGACGACGACGATGAGACGCGGCCAGGCATCACCTCCGAGGCTGGAATGTATCCATGTCCACTGCCTGGGACACCGATCTTCCCGGACCTCGGCAGACCGATGGACATGGAACTGTGCTGCCCCCCCCGGGGGGGCCAGAGCACGTCCACGATTCTTCGCCCCCCCCTGGGGTCCAAGGGCACTGGCTCCACGGGCGGTGCTGCGGGCGGCGCGCACGGATAAGACACCCGCCTGGCACCACGCCGCCCCCCCATCCCGCCAACTGGATGGCTTCTCCGGCGGCCTGTGCCGAGAGGAGCCGACCTTGGCCGGGCCGACCTCCCGGAGTCCGACGACGTTATGGTTCACTTGGCATCGCTCGGACGTGTGCGTTTTTCCTTCGGCGAGGGCCACCGAGGAGCATCCTTGACCATCTGGCGAAAAAGGCCGCGCACGAAGCAGAAAAAAAAACACAGGGAGTGGACGTCCGAGCGATGGCCAGTGTCAGTCCGCCGCCCGAGACGCAGAGCGTGAATTATCAGGAGGGAAAAAACACACAGACACAATAAATCTCGATTCCCCAGAAAATATTGGAAAATATGGGAATGGGGGGGGAAGACAAAAACCCCAAAAATGTAGGAACATATGGGGAATGATTTTATTTGTGTGTATTTATTTGTGTGTCTCAGGGCCCCTTCAAATTACCTACTCCGCGTTCGGTTCCAGGCAAAACCAAGTCATACCACGCGCCTCCCCGTCGAGCGGCCTGACCAGTTCGGGCCGTAGTTTGGCATCGCTTGGTAGCTCTTGGACGCGAGGCGGGTCAAAAGCGAGATAGGTTCGTTTGCCCCCTAGAGGCCCCGAGATCCTGGCGTCGCAGTGTTTTCACATCCGGCGTTTTCGCTCAATTTCGGGCCCCTGGACCTTCACAGATCGATCCGGCTCGAAAAATGACGCAGAAAGGTGCGGTCCAGGGATGCGGTCGTGATTTTTTGCGATGTTGCATTTTTTTTGCAACGGCGGATCTCCGGGGGGGTCCCGACCCCGTCCCCCGGGGCCAGTTTTTGCGTTCGCCCCGCAACGTTTCGAACCTTCCAGGACCCCACTGCGGGCCACAGAGGCCGAAATCGAGGAGAAACGACATGGAGGCATCACGTCGTCGGAGAGACCTGGGAGCCGAACCCGTAGACCAGGACAGTGATGAGCCAGGTCTGTGGCAGGCCCGAGCCAATGGCAGCCGTAGGTTGAGACGGTCTCCAGTCCTCGCTCCCTGCAGTTGAAGTTTTCAAAGCCCTCGTCTGCACGGCCCTGGTCTGCAGAGCCCTTGCCCACGCCGTTCGGCGGCCCCGCCTTGCTTGGCATGAAGGAAGCGAGGCCTTCCTCCAGGACCAGCTTTTCATCCCCAGCCTTATGATGTTCCAATCTACTTTAGCCTTGACCACCAGAAAGAGTTTTGAACACCAAGAAAGAACTGAACCTTTATGGTTTTCACATGTCGGGCCCTTCAACACTTTTTCCGTTTTCGATAGTTTTCTGGGTGCTCGCACTTATTTCCAGGATGTGGTCCTTAAGTACGGTGGGAGCAACGTGACCCCAGCCGTTTCTGGACGATCCTGGGTCCCGTGGAGGGCCCCGAGAGCCCGGGAGCGGCAGGTAATAACTACACGAGGACCTTAGCTGCCTTGATGCGCCCTTGTTGCAACACGGCGCGTAACCACCGCGCTCAAGGCATCCGCGTTCACACGCTGCGTGTTGGCTCGGCGCCTGTGGGTCCACGTTTTGGCGAACGCATCGCGCCAGACCTACGTCTGCAGTCTGCGTGTTGAGCTCCGCGTCAACACGCTACGTCTTGCGTGTTGCGCATCGGGGCAGCCGAGTTTAGGGCCCGTTCCCCTCAGGACTCCTTTGCGTCGCGGCCACCCTACAGTCGGGGGCCTGAAGAAGGAACCCTTTTCGTTGGGGAGGGGCTCCGTTTTCCTTAAATGTTTCACAGCGTGCCTCACGCTTTCCTTAGGTTTTCGATACGAAATCGAAGTTCAACTTATGGAAAATAGGGGCCTCGTTCCTTGTTTAGGGTTCCTTAGGTCAACGCCCTGACTGTACCTCTCGGGCAGCGCACCTCCTGGGGCCCCTCTCTGAGGCGAGAGTCCTGCGCGCACCGCCCCGTCCAGCTGCTCGGAGGGCGCCGACAGCCCCCGAGCACAACCGCAGAGCTGCTCGACCTCTGGGGGCCCGCCGGTGTGTGAGTGTGTGGCGGCGCGCACACCCAGCCCTAGCCTAGAAGACGCTCAAAAGATAAAGATTAGACTCGGGGTTGTCATATGTCCCACGCAGATTTCGAGCTGTCAGTTTTCACTTCTGGGTGTCGCATCGATCGTCGGAGGTCTAGACCTCCGACGACGTGGCTCTCTCACTCCGGGCGGACCTTTACTCGATGGCAGCCCTCGGGGGCCATTGTCGCGCCCTGGGGCCATCAAGGGTGGATCCGGAGCGAAGAGCTGCCCCATGGGGAAGCGGTCGGCACCTCCGGGACCGGGGATGGGAAAGATCCGGCCGGCGGCGAACTCAGGGGGGGGGCGCGAGGGGGGCGGCCGTCTTAGGCGGCGGGGCTGAACAGCCCACCGCTCACCCTCGTCAAAGCCGCCCCCCAGCGCCCCCTGGCGCAGGGCAGGCTGGCTCCTCCAGTGTGCCCCCGAAGCCCAGGGGAGGCAGCACCCACTCCCACCCGGGGGGGTCGGGGATGGGCTGCCTCGCGGGGCCGAGGCTTCCCCCTGCGGGGGTGCGGGCTGCTTTCCCGCTGTCCGGGCTGCACGGTGAGGCCGCGGAGGTCAGGGCCACGTTGGGCTCGGGGGGGGCGCCCCGTGGTTCGGGCCGCTTCGCAGACCCGGGTCGGGGAGCTCAGTCGTGGCCAACGCTCGCCGCGGCCAGGAGCGCCCCTCCGCTCCTGATCTTCAGCCCCGTGCTCGGCGGCGAGCCAGGGGGGGAAGTGAGAAGGGGCGGGCCTTCTCAGAAGGCTCGGAAGCCCCCGGGCCTTGCGAGAAGCTTTCGAAGCCTTCCCGGAAGGCGCAAAGGCGCTCCTCGGAAGGCGCGAGGGCCTCTGAGGAGTCCCGCCGCCTGCTGAGAAGGCCTTCTCCTTCTCACTTCCCCCCCCCTCGCTCGCCGCCGACTTGTGTTAGCTAGTCGTCGGAGGTATCTGGAAGCCGGGCCCCACAACGCTCGGTGGCTCCTCCGCCCTCCCTGTCAAGCAGGTGGCGCACCTCTCCCGGGGCCCCGCTCCCGAAGAAGCCCAGAGAGTCCAGCGCGCACGGCCAAGGCTGGCCGCTCGGAGGGCTCCGAGACTCCTTTTCTTTTTCCAAGCACGGCATTGAGTCGGGCATGTCACACTACAGGAGGAAGATTCAATTATAGTTTAAACATAGTCTGGGATGGATGTTTCTAATATGTTTGCCAACTTTCTCCACATAGGCTTGCCCTATAGGAGTTCTAACTCGAACCCTACTAATTGGTCCGTTGCCCCTCCCCCTAATTCTATGCCCCCCTAATTCCTATGGCTATGCCTATGCCTGTGCCTCCCCTAACTATTATGCCTAAGCCTATGACTATGCCTATGCCTATGCCTATGCTCGCTTGCGCTTGCTTGCTTTCGCTTGCTTGATTTTGTTCCTCCCGTCCTCCTCCCGTCCTGCTCCCGTCCTGCTCCCGTCCTCCTTTCGTACTCCTCCCATCCTCCTCTCGTCCTCCTCCTGTCCTCCTATCCATTTGGAGTCAGCGCTGGCTGATATGTGATAATACATATATAGATTCCTATGTTTGAGCGTTCTTCCAAAATTCGCCTGTAGGAGGACGTGCCCGACCTAAGCATAGTTCATCAACACACCATTGCCACGTTCTGAGCCCCAGACCTCTCGCTCGTTCGCTCGCTCGAGCGCGCGAGCGCCATGCGTTCAGCGTCCCGCCCGACCCGACTCGCCTCACTCGCACGCTCGCTTCCTCGAGCAAGCGATCGAGCGTGGAGGAGGAGGAGGAGGAGGAGGAGGAGGAGGAGGAGGAGAAGGAGGAGGAGGAGGAGGAAAAGGAGGGGGAGGACCCGGTGCGCCCCGTTCGCTCCCTCGCCTGTCTCCTCGAGCGCTGCGAGTGAGCGAGAGCGAGCACCGTGCACTGGATGCCCCGCCCGCCCGGGCCGACGCGCCCACTCGCTCGAGCAACCGAGCGAGCGCTCCAGCGAGAGAGCCGACCCCCTCCTCCTCCTCCTCCTCCTCCTCTCCTCCTCCTCCTCCCCTCCTCCCCTCCTCCCCTCCTCCTCCTCCTCCTCCTCCTCCTCCTCCTCCTCCTCCTCCTCCTCCTCCTCCCCCTCCTCTTCTCCTCGCTCGCTCGCTTGCTCGAGCGAGCGAGCGAGCACCACGCATGCAATGTCCCCGCCCGACCCGATACCCGCCCGCCCGCTGGCTCTCTCTCATTCGCTCGCTCGAGCGAGCGAGCGAGAGGACGGACCCCTTCCCTCTCCTCGCTCGAGCCAGCGATCCGGCGAGCACCGTGCGTTTCGTGCCCCGCCCGAGCCGCCCCGCCCGGCCCGCTCGCCCGCGCAGGGGAGCGAGCGCGCAGGCGAGCGAGGGGGCCGACCCCCTCCGTCCCTCGCCTGCTCGCTCGCTCGAGCACCGTGCGTCTGATGCCCTACCCGCCCGACCTCGCGAGCGAGCAGGAAGCCTCCACCGGCTCCCTCGCCCGAGCCGGCCCGCCCGGTGCGCCCGCTCGCTCGATCGATCGAGCAGCCGAGCGAGCGAGCGAGAGGACCGACCGCCTCCTCCCCTCGCCAGGGGCGACCGAGCAGGCGAGCGAGCGAGGGAGAGGGCCGACCCCCATCTTTCCCCTCGCTCGGGCGAGCGATCGAGCGGGCACCGCGCACTTCATGTCTCGCCCGCTCGGC